GTACGAACAGATCCAGGGACTTGTTGGGTTCACCACTTTCAGCAGTCCTTGCCCAGCTGTTCATGGAAACCCTCGAGGCCGACCATTACCGCAACATCGTGGGAAGGAACGTGGTCTGGCTCCGCTACGTGGACGACATCCTCGCTGTAGTACCAACTAGGACGAACCTGCCTGATCTCCTCCCTAGACTCAATGCAGTGCACCCCTCCATCCAGTTCACCACAGAAGAAGGGAGGGATGAACAACTCCCTTTCCTGGAGACCATGATCCACAGGAGACCTAATGGACCGGTATTTTCAGTATACAGAAAACCCACAAATAAAGATGATTTCATTCACTATTTTTCTGCCCATAGTAAGAGAACCAAAGGTGTGGTCATTGGTTTCTTCCTCAGGGCCCTCAGAATATGCAGCCCTGAGTTCTTGGAGGATGAGATGAAACACGTCTGCAACACCTTCCAACACCTCTACTATCCCCGCTCCATGCTCACCCACCTCCGACGCAAGGCCGAGAAGATCATGAGCAGGCCGAGAGGTGAGGACACACAAAGTAGAACTCAGAGGATAACCATCCCCCACTCGGAATTGACTGAGCACCTGTAGGCCCTGGTGGGCCATACTCTTAAGATAGCTACGTCTTCAGGCAAGAAGATCGGAGACATCGTGAAAGAAAAGAGGTCAAACCATAACAGACCCCTCAGCCAGGTGTACAGCATACCTTGTGGGGGCTGTGATAAGGTATACATAGGCGAGACATCACGAGGACTGAACGAACAACGAATCAGCCAACACCGCAGCGCTCTCCGACGCCATGACACGAGAAGCGCCTTCGTTGTTCACGCAGACACCGATGGTCACCTCCCGAAGTGGTCCCAGGCCTCCATCATAAAGCAAGGCCTGGTCCCACGACAAAGGAAGATGGTAGAAGCGGCGTTCATTCATACAACTAACAACATCAACACCGCTACAGGGAGCCATGAACTAAACAAGGTCGTCGCCCACCTGATTACTGACGTGACCTGATCACCCAGTAATTGTATATATATACTCCTCTATGTACCTCATGTACCTCTCCTGTGGTGTGCAGGGAGAGATCACCCAATTGGCGAGGCATTATTGTCACTCGGCGTGATCCTCCAGAGCTAAAGCCTCCAGACTTGAGCTTGATTACGATATTATTTGACAACAAACTACACAGAGAGCTCCGCCAATTTCTCGTGGTTCGCCGCGACAATTGGCCAGGCCTTCTCTTGTAGTAAGTGCCCCACTACCGCTCCCTTGGAGAGCGAGGTTTCAAACCAGGTCTGGACCCTCTGGTCCTGGACACAGTTTGTGGCCACGCACCAAGGGCGTCTTTTCGGTGTCTTACTCTTGCCCTCTCTTTCTGATTTCCTGGTGCAGCCTGGGCCTGCGGGAAACGTTGATTTCCAACATTCGCCTGGGCTGCGGTGACGTGATCACACCCCCCTTGTAGCAGGATTGGGGTGCAGAGCGTTTACCACACCAAAACTCCAAGTTCAGCCCACCCAGGGGGATCTCCTGTCCTGTGGTGCTGAAGGGTCGAGTGTAGGGACCAGAGCTTTTTGTGAGGCCCTTCTTCAGACCTCACCCAGAGAGGAGGTATAAAGATAACCCCCGAAAGGGGACAAATCATTTTCCAACTCTCTAATGACCACAAAATGAATCCGACCATGGCAGTCACCCTGGAGCCTTTCAAGGCTGCAGGGGGGCGAAAGAAAACCCAAAGCAGGCCGAACGTGTCCGGCCTGCTGAACCGAGCAAGGACAAGACAGAAACACCAACCCAAAGTCTGTCCTTGCACACCAGACTGAGGGAAGCCTGAACTCCCTTCAGAACTCCCTCAGTCAAGAAGGGGCTCCAGCTGTACCAGCCAAAACAGCTGCCCCCACTTCCAAAGGCCTTAAACCCCTGCAAAGGGGAGGCGTGAAGCGACGAAGGGTGGGACTGACTCTGATGAAGAGGCAGAACACACCCCAAGTCGACTAACGCGGTTTAAGGTACCAAAAAAACCTGAAGACTTCGACAATGCATACCAGCTGGTAAGGGCATTGGAGAAGGAAAGAAATGTGAGATTATCAATCCGAATCTCCAGAGATGAGGGCATGATCATTGCCCCCAAAGACAAAGCCACCATGAACTTCCTGCAGGAAATCAAGGTGCTTAAAGATGGGAGGAAGGTGTGTATCTCACCAATGACTCAAGAGAAAAAATCCAAGATGGTGCTACTTGGCTTTCCACTAGGGTTCGACGTGGAGGTGATCACGTCTCTACCACAAGTGGTGGAGGCTTCCCGCATGACCAAAGGGAAGTCTCCAACCAGGCAAGTCCTTGTTATCCTCAAGGGAGCCCCAATCACCACCCTTGATCTGGGTAACTGGGGCTCATACAACCTCAGGACATATGTGCCAGAGCCCTTGAGGTGTTTCACGTGCCAAAAATTCGGGCATCACCAGGCCAACTGCAAGGCCAAAGCCAAATGTGGTGTATGCAGCGAGGCACACGAAACGGAAGTGTGTATTAAGGCACACAAAGATGGCCAGAAGGACACAACAGCCAAGTGTCCAAACTGTGCCAAAAAACATCATGCCTGGAGTCTGGCTTGCTCTGTCAGGAAACAGGCAGTGATTAAAAAGCAGGAGTTAGCCAAAAAACGTCCTGACTTTGTCCCTGCGCCCCCAGGTACCTATGTCTGGGGTCAAAACAAAAAACAAAATAAAAAAGAAGACTCCCCGACCTCCTAAGAGGAAGGAGTCGCCCCACAGAGAAAATTGGATACCTCTAACAGAGAGGAATTCCCCGAGCTTGCTAGTGGCAAAACCACAAAAAAGAACCAAAGGGAAAAAGGTTCAAAGTCCACAGCAATGGTCCCCCCAGTAGATGATAATCTTTTCTTTGACGAGAAAGATATGACTCTCCTGTTGAGTGCTGTAGTTTCTGCAGTAGCAACAGCCTTGGGGAGGACCAGTGAGGAGGCGGAGAAAGCAGTGCAGGTCGCCATGACGGCTATGACCCAAACTGTGGCGGCTCTGAAGGGAAGGAAGCTAGAAGCCTCCAAACCGATAACGAGCAGCGCTCCCCTCCCCAAATCCTCGGATGACAGGCTAGCTTCAAAAGAAACATCACATAAAACCCCAGCTAGTCTGTCAGGACAGGCTGAAACTGTGCAGCAGGCCGAGTCTCTACAGCCAAAGTCTCGTCCTCCGACCCAAGGTGACACTTCCAACCTAGGCCCTACACCCCCTGGTAAGGCCTTAACCGGAGTGTCTGACTTAGAGGAAGTTGTAACAGTCCTCAATCAATGAGGATCTGTATCTATCTGATGCCACCAGCACTGGGGCATCGGAAGATGAAGCAAGTGACACTGAGTAACCATCATGGCACACAATCTAAGCATACTGCAGTGGAATATCTGTAGCTATAAAAGCAAGAACTCATTTCTCCAGTCCATTGTGCGAGCAAGGAGCATTGACGTCGTCATGCTCCAGGAGACACTAACAAGGGGATCCGTGTGCTTCTCAGGATATCATGCCTTCACCACTCCAAACCTGGATGGTGCTAGAGGCCTGATGACCCTGGTAAAAGAAGCTATCCCGTGCTCCTTAATAGCCAATCCGCCGCACTGTGGAGATGGTGTTGAATCTCTTGCTGTTGAGATTCAGCTACCTGGGGGCTCTATAAAAATACAATATTTATAGGAAACCACTGTGTGAGAGCTTAGATCTAAACCAGGTCTGTGCTACTGCAGCACAAGACCGAGTGATCATAGGGGGAGACTTCAATGCACACATGGCCATGCTGAATCCCGCAAAAGGCCGAACGCGGCAGGCATTCACATAGCAGAAGTGCTTGAGACATTCCTGAGATCGCTCTTCTCAACACCAAAGAACCAACGCATGTGAAGGGAGGGGTCCTAGACCTCACCTTTGCCACTGCAACAATGGTGGAGAGAATTCGATGGTGTGTTGATGATACAGTTACTAGTGATCACTACGGCATAGTCACCACACTAATGGATGCAGGTCCAGCCCAAAGACCACATCACATTCCAAATGGAAAACAGACAAGGCCAACTGGTTTGCCTTCCAAGAAGGCTTGGCTCGATGTCTGAAAGACAATGAACCCAATAACAATAATGAAGATGTGGATGTGCTAGAGGCAAGGCTAATCCAGGCCATAAACCAGGCAGCCTCACAAACCATTCCCAAAACTCGTCCATGGTCCAGAACTCACAAAGACGCCTGGTACTATAATGACGAGATCAAAGAGGTCAACCACAGGGTTAATATGTGTAGAAAAAACTTCCGACGGCAAAGATCTCCCGACAATCTGGCCCTGCTGAGGGAAGCTGTT